GCTCAAAAAAAAAATAAGACCCGGCCTTATTATATGAGAAACACGGTAGTAAGGAGGAGTGTTGTAGTCTCAACAGATGTGCATGGTACCAGAATGAAGAAGCCCAATTGAAAAGCTAAACTGGGGTGGGGGTGGGGACCTCAGTTATGCATGTTAACATTGGAGATCAGGGACACCATTTACTGGGCAAATATTTTAATGCAAATTTACCCATATGCACTTTCTGGATTTATTTGCAACAGTGGCGAATATCTGTCTGAACTTTCTGAATATCCGTACGCACTTTCTGAATTTATAACATGCAAACCGACATCATTTTTCACTGAAATCCCATACTTAAACTTGTCCCAAAGTCCATTCTTTGGGGAGAAACTTTTGCAAAACTGTGTGCAGTAACATACGCGTATGTAAACACGTGAAGGACTTTGAAAGCGTTGAAGAAAAGTGCAAATCACGAGGAGATGGGTTGGGCACAGATGAAAAATCAAGCAAAAACAAAGTGCCCAGGTTCATCCAATCCCAGCCAGCAATTTTTACCATAGTTTATAAAATTGTTATTCACCTTCTCATTGTCCAGGGTGTCCTTCTGTACAAACGCTTGGACAAATTCTTGTGGACCGATGTAACTAAGTCTCTCCTGAAAGAAAGAAAAATTCCACTCATGGTCAACGTTCATTCTTGTAGAAGGAAAGGTAAAGGAGTCTCTATGGATTTTACTCCGCTAGTTGTTGCTGACTGTAGGGGGGTGGTAGTCATCTCTGTTTCAAGGCCATTGAGCCAGTGCTGTCCAAAAATATTTGGACATGTGACCAGCATGATCTCACGGAGTGCTGTTATCTTCCCACCAAAGTGGTACCTATTTATCTACTTGCATCTGCATGCTTTCGAACTGCGTTCGGCAGGAGCTGGGGCAAGGACGAGAGCTCACCCCGTCTTATCGCGCTCGGGTCTCGAACCCGGGCTGCCGGCTTTCCAGACAACAAGCCAAGCGTCTTAACTACCGAGCCAGCCCGCCTCCCTTTGAAGAAGACCACTGAGAAAAATGATCAAACAAGAATAAAATAAAGTGGGGGAATAAACTTACAAGCTCTATGTGAGTCAGCTGCTGGGCCAACATATAAGGATCGCTGCAGATGGTGATGATATCTCGTTGGATGGCCTGAGGTTTGGTCTTTAATACCGTCAGCCTATCGGTTGAAGTAGCGTTGATTTTTGCAAGAACTTCCTCATATTGGTTGAGAGAGGCCAGCTTACGGATGAGGCTCTGGATGATTTGCTGCACGTTTTTCCGATAGGTCTGGAAAGAGAAATAATGAAAAGGGACCATCGTTTTTTAAACACCTGAAATGCTTTCTGTTGACAGAACTTACACATAACAGTATGCCAGAAGATCTCTTCCGCTCATGAAGTCATGGTTTATTTGCATCCTGCCTTTATTTTTTAAATTTATTATAATGTTACATATTATCT